TATGCCCCTTTCGACGATGCTCTTAATTCCCCTCATTTTCGGGGTAAGTCACCAAATGAGAATAGTTACACCAATATTGACCTAACACCGCAAAAATTAAATAATTCTTAAACAGTCATTTCATGTATTTTTTGAAAATAAATTCGTACACCTGTGTCAGTGTTTGTGTTTCCAACGGCCAGTGCACACTATGGAACCGTTTGTCGTCGAAGCTCTTGTCGAGGTCGAAGAAACAGAGACAAGGGTGGTTCCTGATAGAAGGGAAGAAGGACGGGGCTGAAGGAGTTCTGGAGTCCTGCAAGGGACGGCTAATTCCACCGTGATCGCATCTGATCGATGTCCCTCGACTGCCCCCGTAGAAAAGTTATTGTCCTCCGTGTTCCTTTGAGCCTACCTTCCGCGATAGGACATTTTCCATCTACTGGTCAAACTCTTGCTACTATAATTAGCTTACTCACAGCTGCAACATAAGTAAGCGGAGACGAACATCCAATTTGCATCTTTTATATTACGAATAACTATCACATTTCAAAATTCCACCCTTTACGACTTTCTATTTCCACGAGTTTTACGTCTCGTGCCTTCAGATTTCGAAATTCTACATCGATAACGCTTCACCGCTTTACGTTCTAGGATTTTATTCGTCGGTTTCCTTTTTCCAAAATTTTTCAATGCAAAGTTTTATCCCGCGGGGACGTCTGGCTACCCCAGCCAGCGCGAGTCCGGTACCCAGGAAGACATCTTTCAAAATAAACATTTTTACACGACCCTTTCCAATCCACGGAAACGCGCGCCCGGAAGCCAGCGATCTAGCGAGTCTTCGACTTTAAGTCGGGACAAAACATCCCCGTCGTGGCCGTAGCTGGTGCGCGGGCACACACGGACAGTTTTCCACCGGTCCCCAGCCAGCATGATTCTTTTATTTTACTTTCGGCCGTGCTCCTGGACACGACGTACTCGATTCGACCCTTCGCGTCTATTTCGCCCCCGTGGAAACAAAGAGGAAAAGTCTCGAAGAGGAGAAGGAGCGGAAGGAAAGGATAGGTGACCCCCTCCCCCAGCCTGGGACGAAGAAGAAGGTCGCATATGGTGCCTCCAACCCCGAAAGTTTCGCCGTTCGTTGGGGGTGGCTATCTTGCCTATCACCCCCTACCCCCTTTCCACCCTAGGCTCTGACCCTTTTATCTTATCTCACGGCCGATAGATAAGCACCGGCGATAAAGCTGCTGGACGAAATGAAGGCAAGGCGCGCGGATGCAGTCGCCATTCCTTAATTAAGTCCCGACGACCGTTTGTTCGGTTTATTGGCTTGTTTGCCCCGCGTACTTTCTCTCTGGGCGACGTGGACGCTTGCCCCCCGGGAGAATATACTTCGTAGCTCGAACGTTTCGCCGTTTATGGAATTGTTTCTTCTATCGGTCTCCTTTGCCGCTTTTTTCGCTCGATTTCGGAAGACCTTACTGTCCGAGAAATATTCCACTATGGCGGGCGATGAGACACTTGGAGGGAGTTGCTCGCTGCGCGCAACCATAACGATGAGTTTACGCGCATTACGAAAGGTCACCTTGGCTAATTTCTGCGCCTCCTCGACGGAGTTCAAGGACACGGTTATCTATTTCTTTTCCCGGTGGTTCGCGATTCAAAAGTTATTACGCGTTTCGACGTCCGACCAGATCACCGGTCGAGGGGGGAGATAAATATAAAGGAGGATGGGGGAAGGGCATAGGCGACCGGTAAAAGAGATACGAGATAGAGAGCAGCCACGATGAGGTTGGAGGGGAGGGGGTGGAGCAGAGAAGAAGACCCCATTACGTATTCCTCCGGCATCCCTCTTGATCTCCCCGCATTTTTATTGCACTTGCCGCCAGTAAGAATATGTTTTATTTATATTTCATATTTCTCTCCGTTGCTGCTGCTGCTGCTGCTGCTGCTGCTCGGTTTCGTGACCACGAGAAAGCTTGATTCCCCGGATTCGCACAGGGTGACCACGGGATACCGAGAGATCGGTGGGGGGATCTCTGTCCTCTTATTTATCTCTTTTCCTCCTCGTACACCGCGTGCCCCGTAATTTCGCTGCCCCTATTTTTCTAACTCCCCCTTTCACCCCGAGTCGAAAATATTTTCGTGGCTTTTGTCGACGGTGTTCCGGGTTCGCATTTCACAGTTGAAGAGTTTTACTTTATTCACTTTCTTATTTATTTAACATCTTTATCGCATCACCGTGAAACGAGGCCAGATACAGCCACATGCTGTTACAAACCTAATCTATATATTCAACAGTTTCGAAAGTTTTTATTGTACCGCTGATTTGCTCGATGAAAAATCAAATTACACAAAACGTTACTTTAAAAACTGTTCGATTCGGCGTGAAATGACCCACAAGGGAGAAGTTGACCCAAATCATTCAATGACGTCACGCGACGGCCCCCACCCATCACTGTTTCGGCTGATTAATTGGACGCCGTGAGCGGTGCCTGGGTGGTAATTTATTGAAGTGCCAATCGTCGTTGTTGTTATTATGACCGCTGGTGTTATTTATCGCTTTCACGGGAGTAAAGGGCGGAATGGCCGAAGAAACAGCGTGACAAATTGGAAATTCGTGTGAAATGTAAAGTGTAGAGGCTGTTGGAACTGTGCTATTCGGTTGTATCAATTTCACTGATATTTGTTCCGCTTGATAGGGGTTTATACGACTATGGACTTCGGGAAAAAGGTAGACTTTGTAACTCTTTTGTAATAAACATTATTAATACACGTATCAATATTATTTCATCAATATTTCTTCTGCTTAAGGGTTACAATATTAGGGAGGTCGAAAAGAAGATGGATTATGTGAAAGCCGTGTCACGGGGGTCGGTGATCGTGCCCGGGCGAAATATTTTTCCAGACGAAATAACAGTCCGTCGCGGAAAAAGAGTTAAATCTCGCCAAAACGTCGCGCAACCAGCGGCGCGTAAAGCTCGTCCGGTGCTTTGTGACTCTCGCGAGGGGTGTTACACGCAATTTGCCCGCACTTTCCAGTAATGACTCCGTGGGACCCTTCGACATATTTTATGGGCATCGTGCTGGCTGTGCATAACTTACAGTCCACTGGCTGAACTTACGGACAACGCGATCTCTCGTCGAGTGTGAAACGACGAAACCCCGGAAAGGAGGAAGCAAATCACCATCGTAAAACTGCGACACAACAAAGTATCGAAGATACGTTTACGGTTATATTATAGAGCGGTGGTTTCCAAACATCTTTAAAGGAATAACTGGATACCAGTCTGGTAACACTGATACAGTGTTTTAACAACAAGAGGATTGTCCCTCGGGTATAACGTTTCCCACAGTCCGAGATCTTACTCTTGCAATTTACGAGGGATGCTGCCTCGTGAGAATCAGCAGCCCGAAGTGCAGGACGTTCGTAAAAATGAATCGACGGCCACGGGTGAGCGTTTCGAAGGAGTATTCTTACCGCGCAGCGTGTTATCATTAAGATATACATCATAACCGTGTGAAAACGCGAGGATTCCTCGTCAGGATCGTTCGGCGAAGGTACGTGAGCTGAAAATGCTCACCGAGCTGAGTAATATCATCGCGTATACGTGACGCGGCTCCTCGGACGTTCTACGCTCCTGGCGATATGGAAGACGCTAGCGTGTACTCGCCGAACGCACACACACGAGCGGACCGTACGCGTGCGTGGGAATTTCGGATAATTTGATAAGGATTCATGTCAGTGCGAGATGCTCCATGGGGGCACAGAGTGAAATTCCTTATTCCAGTCGCACGCGCGCCGAGATGGCTTTTAAATTCCGTGGGCCCCTTTGATGGGGACCGCTTTCGAAACTCCGGCACAACAGCCACGTAAATCAGAAGTTTGATACGTTGGACCAACCGGGAAGCATAAATCACGGGCAGAAATTATATTCCCTCGAGGAGACGTGTCTTCTATATGAAGGTCACCAGAACAACTTTGGTATTAACTCCGGGTAACTCGACCGTTCCACCTGTCTAATCCTGTTCGCTTTGAAAATTATGCTTCTGCAGAGTGATCTGTTCGGAATATGATTCTGTAGAAATAGCCGTCGACTTTTGATTTGTATCAGTGCTTTCCATATTTTTTTGAGGTGCTCACACTTGAAAAAAAAACAATTAAAACATCTGAGATGAATAACCACAACTAAATTTAAATAATTTCCAAAATAATTGAATTATTTGAGATATCGGTTCTAATAATCTATAACATCGGACAGAATCTGTAAAAAAAGGAATTAGGACATTTACTAAACCGCACGTAGTGTTATTTTTAACATATTTTTCACTTTTTAATGCACAAATGAACATTGTGTCTCTTTTAAAATCGAAAAGAATTTCAAATTCTACGCCATTAATATTTATATACAGGATGTTCGGCCACCCCTGGGAAAAATTTTAATGGGCGATTCTAGAGGCCAAAATAAGACGAAAATCAAGAATACCAATTTGTTGATGGAGGCTTCGTTAAAAAGTTATTAACGTTTAAAGTTCCGTCCGTGCTGAATTTTTTTCTCGAAAATGCGCAAGATTTTGGGGGTATGTCTATTCACCAAAAATGATTGTAATTAACCCCCGCAACCGAAAATAATTTTTCCAGAACGATTTGAAATTTTCGAATTTAATTGTTAATAACTTTTTAACGAAGCCTCCATCAACTAGGGGTGACCGAACACCCTGTATATTGCATAGTTTGTTTTACAGTGAAGAAAGCCACTGTCTCTTTGAATTATATAAATAACTATATCAAGATTGATATAGTTGCGAAGAAAAAAATTAAACACAATTTTTAGATTGTTTATTTTTGTTAAAAACAACGAATAATTAACTTTAATTATGAAATTGTTGAGATTCCCTACGTTGCGAAAAAGTTGGAACATCCGGCATCCGCACGTGGCGTGATCACGTGGCCATTCACAAAGAAGTAAGTAGTGAGACAGTGTGTAGCGAATAAAAGTTGCTAACTTTTTTCACAATTTTTGGTTTTAATTTTTTGGTTTGACTAACTTTACGGTATCAAAAACATGTAGAAAAGTATTCTGAAGAGTGAAACTTGAAAAGCACCGTTTATTATAGGCTAGAAATACGTACTGTGTCGTGTATCGATGAAAGGGAAAAAGCGGGAAAGGCGTTTGCTAATACCGGTTGTATATGAAGTTTATATGTATCTAATCGTTGTTAATTAATGCTCGTAATTTGGGTAATTACTGCAGTGATTGGGTTTGTCATTTACTCGTTGATCAAAATAAAGATTGAAGAGTTGCTTGATGAATGCAGGTGCGTGATCGTACGCGTGACAGTGTGAGGTTATGTCAAATTGTAGCTATTTTTGCACATGATATTTTCACTTTTAATTTCCATGTCATTTCATGATTTTTATCAAAGGAATTTCTTAGAGTAGTAATATTGCCTTTTCTTCTTGAAAAAATATTTCACGATCTATAAATAATCATGTATCGTGTATATAAAACATTAACGCGTTAGGTATATTTATGTTAATAGAATGAGTGGTTTTGGCTCCAGGAGGTCATGCTCACCACATTTAGAATCTCGGTGTTCAAATGGGTCGTCACCCAATCAACAAGGAGTAATAGAACTTTCGTCAGATGCCTCTGATAGTGACATCGACGATACAATATCAGAGGTGTCAGACAACAGTAACTTGTACGATAAGTTTTTGTCTAAGTTTCACCAATCCACGGATAGCATAACATCCGGTGAAGATGTAGAAGAGTTAGTATTTCCATCTACTTCCGGCTCTGATGTTAAAACTTCGATGTTTGGGTGGAATAAGAAAAATATTAATTTAAAAAAGTCCACTATTACAGAGGATGATGAAAATGACTCTATTAAAGCAGAAATAACCTCATTTCCTTTTACTGGGAAAAGATCAAGACAAAAAAAAATCAATTTTATCGCTGATGATGACAATGATTTTTGTGATAGTTCAAATAGCAAATCAGATGCATTTAATATCAAAGATGGGAAAAAATTTAATGAAAATGTGTTACCTGAAGTAACGGTTCAACATGAACAAATGATATCAGGAATCAATGTTAAACTTCCTGTGAAACCTTACTCGTGTCAAGTTGCTGTAATGAATAAGGCAAGTATTTACATTTATTAAGATTAAGATTAAGATTAATGAATTATGAAATTAACACAAGTACTTTTATTAACAAAATATTGCAATAATTACAGATTATACAGGGTTGTTTAAAGAAGGAAAACTGTCTACTGGAAAGTCCAACAGGAAGTGGAAAGACTTTGGCCCTTCTCTGCGGTGTTCTGGCTTGGCACGATCATCATACTGGTGAGTTAATAATATTTTCATAAAATACATGCAAGATTTATTTGAATTAATAAACTGTATAATAATCTCTTCAACAAATTAATTTGATTAACCATCATGTGGCTATTTGAATGCATTGTGTGTTTGAATTTATTTGTGTCATGTTCTTATGTCTATAAGTTATAATCGATTTTGACTGATGTTTTTAATAATATTTCTGTTATGCTGAAGTCTGGTTTTTTGAATCCGTTTTTGTAAAATATTTTGTGACCTCAAAAGTTTTTAATCGTTTAAAAACTAATTTTTTGGGGTCATATTTATATTTGTTCGATCAATACGATCATCGTTACTCGCGATTGCGATTCAGTGGCAGCCATCGCTTTTCGTCCGCGAGATTTTCAGGTGTCTTCCGGATTTTTTAAAATTAGATGCAAGCCCTCCGACGCAGTGTCGACTTTATTAAACTCCCGTCGAGTTCTCCGACGTTCTCCGTCAGAACTTTAGAAAGACTTCTAGACAATTTCTTAACGTGTCACGACGACGTTTCGCGGAAAGATGCAAAACGATCGTGTCGAGTAATTCTTGCGTCGAAATTGGCCGTTGCTTTCCGCTCGCGGAAACTTCCGACGCGTTCGAAACTTTCCGAGAACTTCTCTCGCGATGGCCGTCATCCTCGCAGATACGAACATTCTTAAAAATTCTTTAATACCGTCGCGAAACGAATTGAAAAAGTTGAAACTCCCGTGTAACAGCTTGTGCAGCTACTGTTTCTCGGACTGTTTTGTACCAGTGGAATCAATGATCCTCGAACGAACGCGAGATTGATTCAATGCTGGACCGTTTTATATTTATCATAGTATTGTATTATAAAACAAAAGCTTCCAAAGGTTTTCTTTTTGTGGTATTTTACCATAAAATCGCACAGAACAAAAGTTACTGTTGATTCAATTTGAAAAATTTTTTGAAACGTACTTTTGTTACAGCATCGTATTTATACGTTAGTCCGTATAGCATCAACTATAGAATGTACAATATTTCGGTAACCGTTGCATGTACAGTAAAATTGAATACTACAAAAGTTATCGAACGTTAAATTTGGAAATTTTTTTTTCCTACGCAACGTTCGATACAATTGATAATAATCGAAATGAATAAAATGCAGTTTTATCTGTCTGTTTATTACCGTATCATGTTTATCTACTAATTTTTACGTTTAATTAATGAAAATAAAACATGAAGCATTTTATATACACTCAAAGAATATTTTTAATTCTTGCAGATGGTATATTCAGTTGGTAGGCAAATAAGCCCCTATGTCATTTTTATACCACACGTATGTTTGTAGTTTTTAGAATACATGGAATGTTTATAATGTAAGATTGAGAATACGATGTTTTATTTTTTTCGTATTTTCAATGCAAAAAATATTTATTTACTTAGTAACCAAAATAAACTTAAAATTACTGAAGCAACACTCATCGTTCAGAGTTTGTGGAAATCATATCGCGGAGATGAACTATTATAGTATAGTTTATTTTGTACCTAATGTGTGCAATGTAGTTTGTATTGCATGTGGACTATTTAAGAGTTTTAAAAAATGATATGGAGCCTGAGGCTAACGCCAAGATATCAAGCTTAGGCTCAGTTTAATATTTTTCTCATATACTCATTCGCCATTTTGATACTTACAATTAACTATCTCGAAAACCCCATTATAAAAATTTGAAATCAAAGAGTCCCTTCGTATTTTAACCACGATTTCGGGTGGATTTTCCACTGTGTGTGGCTCGTGTTTTGTTTTGGTTGTACGTATACCTAAGTAGAAGTCATCGAGCGTATAATTAAGGACTTTCAGTTGCGGACGGGAACGTTAAAGAAGTTCTCTGTTGTCCTCCAGCCGGAGTTGGTGAACCGCCTATTAGACATTCACAACCGTCATATTAATTTAAATTATTCAACCGTTTGCCATTTCCCTCGCGTAGGTTTCGTGTTTGTTGCGTGCATGCCGCTAATTGGCGGCGATTCGCGCGCAATTTCTAAACAATTAGGTTCGAAGTTCGCGTCGCGATACTCGTTCGTGGCGGTACCAGGTCGCGGATGGCGACGGTACCGTCTTTTTTGGCGAAACGCTCGACGGAAACGTAATTTCGAGGTATGGCTGACTCGATGGCTGGTCTCGGTTATTATTTCGCATTTGCATAATACTTTTGCCTCTTTTGTCGCAGTGGTTGCGCAACGGGGATGATAATTCCTCGGGAAGGGGGGAGGGGGGGGGGCACGAAGCGGTTTCCGACTGAATTCTGGCCGCGTGTTGTATTAGGCGTTTCGTGGAAGATTTTATTTATTTTTTAAAAGATTCCAGTTTCCACGAAAGCACCTATATTTAGAAGGAAAGTTTTTATCTCTTTGCCGAGGAACGTATTTATATCGTGAAAACTAATCAGGGCCTGTTAAGTGTTGTAGTTTTATCCGATGTCCCTGCTATTCGCGCAGAAAATGGCCGAAGTGTTCTCGAGCACGCGTCCCAGACGGTCCATTGTCTCTCCGAAAATTTCTGGAGGGTGGCAAAGTCAATCGCGATGATTCAGATATTCTTCGCGGGGGTTGCTTATCTCGACGCACACAGAAATTTATAGATCACTATGTTAGCGATCCTTGTGCACGAACAAGGAAACAAGAAAGCCTATTTCCGTTTTATACCTGATCATTAGATACGATCTAACCTTAGACTTATCGAGTACTAAATTCTGCAAATAAATTGCCCGAAAACGAGATCGTAAATCTTGTCACAGAATCAATCCTCCGTTTATTCCTTTAAAAAACGACCGCATAATCCTACAAACTATCGAATAATAGCAGAGATTTAGGCACCGATTTTAAGTCGGGGGCCATCGCGTGTCATTCGTGGCCCGCGTCGAATTAAAAGGTTCCCCGACGTTAACGTCGATTTTGCGTGCCGTGACGACGACATCTTTCTCTTCTTTCTCGTCCACGGCGACGAACAAACCGCCGTCTGTCGTTCCGCTTCCGGAATCACGGACGGATCCCTCCCTGACTTCCTTCGCCGCCTCCTCTTCCTTCTCCCGGTGACGTCCATGCAGAATCTGGAATTATCGAGCACGCGAAACCCTTTTCCGCTCGGGGGATCGAACGTGTGCCCCCCCCCCCCCCTTTTGTCGAGGAAGGAAATCCTGTGATTTAATTGGCACCTTTCCGACAACAGCGCGTGTCATTGCTGACCATAGTTTTCCCGGGCGAGCTAACAGCTTACGCGGCAGGAAATAATAGCGTTCCTATGGAGAACAGCAGTTCCCGTTCTCAATCGTTTTTTCTAAACATAATCAGTGGCGCAAAACATTCTCGAACGTGTGCAGGTTTGACAAACGCTAGTTCGATTTCGGGGCTCGTGTCGCACGACACTCGATACGCTTTGTAGTACGCATTCGTAATTAGGCGAACGGGGGTCTCGATTAGCGTTAGTCATGACAACGAAACTCGCCGCACGACATCCTTCTCTTTTCCCCGGTTATAATTCGTTTTTTTTTTTTTTTTTTTTAAACCAGGCACCGTCACGCTCCGCTCGTGAGTCGAGTGGTACTGCTAGCCACCGAAACTGTAAACTTCGTGCTGTTCGAGAGTCGAATATATCAGCTTCTCGAAAAGGTATAGAAAATTTCGTGCGTCGCATGCGCGATCGATGAACGCTGGATGACCGCGTCGACATAATCGTTTCTATTTCTGATTCCGTCAATTAGCCGCGAACAGTTCCTCGAAGACCGTAACTTGCGAGCAAACTGGAACTGCAATTCAACTTTTGATAGATTGTTAAGACGACTTCGCGACAATTACGTGTTCGACTCGCTGCTTCGTCAGACCTCAAAAACCTGTTTCCCGCAATTACCCTAGAATTCTTAGAAGCGAAACGTAGGAAGAGTATTATTCTGAAGCACCTTGGAAATGCAATCAAACTTTTGCGCGAGCGGCGTGTTTGTTGGTCCGAGGACAGAACAATGTGATGATTAGGGTGGGCACGATCCTCGACAGGAAAGTACGCGGTTGAAAACAATTTGCTTTGTTAGCTTGCATAGTTTAGTGATTAGCCTAGGATATTCTGGCTCCGAAGAAACGCTCGGTTTTCGAACTATTCGAAAAGTTCGTTTAGGCCTTAATAGAACGGTTAACTGAGTTACGACTATCGTGCAGTTGTGTTTAGAAATTGGGGCAAGTAACGAGCTTGAAGATCTCTGCTCCTGAGGAGTCCTAGGGATGGAGCAATATGACCAACATGGCGTACCATCTACAGTACCAAGTCGAGCAACTTTACAACCCAGTAGCTCTTCAAAGAATAAGACCAAATGTTTATCGAGTTTGCAACGGGGCTTCTGAGGCTCGATTCAGCGATCACCAGAATCGGCGCCAAAAGTTTTACGTGGTGTTGCGAGGAGCAGAAGTTCGAAGAGTAATAGTGAGCTCTGGGACCTAAGTGCGGCGATTTTCCAGTTTGCAATGATTTACGCGCACCTCGAGCCCCGAGCAGAGCATTAATCAGCGATCGCTAAAAACCCCGGGACGTGTCTCGCGCAATTACCTTGGAATCCGCAGAACGAAATCGTTCGTAGAAATGGCGGAGCGTGATGCGTCGCGAACGTCGGAGACAGCGGGGTCGGGAGAGATCGAGAGGGGTCTGGGGAATATAAATTTCGAAAGTTTATCGCGGAATCGCATGCCGGCTAATGTCACTTTATTACAACGGCGAATAGACGACGTAGACGTTGGGAGACAGAGGTTCGCCCCGAACGAGTTCGAAATAACCGGCGGTCTGAGGAGGCCCGTTGCACGGCCAGGAAACTTGGCAACTCGGTAATAATTATCGGTGAACTACACGCGGAATCGTATATGTGTATGTACAAGAGAATCGTCGGCCTCGTCGTCGCCGTTAATCGTCTTTGTGCCTCAGCATGCGACAACTCCGCGGGCTATGCAGCCCTACGTGCTCCTCTGTGACGTTCTGACATTAATAA